TGCCAACCATGCCGTATCGATAAATCAAATAATTGATTGTTTTGACTGCCGACTGTAGGTGGAGAGATATGGAAATATATTTCCCAGGTTACACGAGTTCGAATAGAATCACAATTTTAACTGAAATCATTCTGCAAAAGTTCGTACAAGTAAATTTCTTTGATTATCAATTTGATTTCCGTGTTAAATGTTAAGGTAAAGTAGAACTGAAATATAATTTACTAAATTTAACAGATCTTAGGTATCCAATTTAACTTTATCTGTCGTTTGCGTTATTGCTACTTAATTTGGTGCTCATCTAACTTTCTCTACTAAAAAAGTAAATAAAGTGGAATTTGAATAAAAAGAAAACCTGGATCCTGGAAAATTATTTAAAACAGCAGCTAATTAAACCTTACCCAAATTTCTATTTACCAATTTAATATTACTATGCGCTGACTTTTTATAGTAAAAAATAGAGGGTTAAAACAAGATGCAATTAAATTTCTATCTACTAATTTCTCCAACAATTATATATAAAATTCATTGGGTACAAAAATCATATTGCAAGATTGCACACTAAAAAATGCTTCCACTGTTATATTATCTCTATAACAATATTGCACCTATAACGATGACATATTCAAATTGCAAGTGAAATTGCTCCATAGGCAAACATATTTTCTCGCACTGCATAAGCAAACTGGTTCGTTTATATTCGATTCTAATTTTTTTACTCTTCCAAGCTTTCAAAAAATCTAGAAATATTCTAAAGTTACTTACCAAAGTCTCTGCTACATTACACAATTGCTCGTTGAGCCAAGTGAATCAAACTTTTTTCAATAAAAATAAAAATTCGTTCGGGTCATCAAGGATCCAGCTTGCTTACGCAGGATTAAAAAATACTTCGACTGTTACGTTATACCTAACAAAAAACGTTAATTTGAAATCTAAGAAACACTTGTTCAACATTTTAACTATTCAAAGTAACATTCCTCAGATACAACTATCTCAAAACACTGAAGCAGAAGAATCTGTATTTCTCGCTGTTCAACTATTTACAATGTTGGTCGTATGAGACTTTTCGACGCGACTCGTACTTCACCCCTTCACGTCGCCGCGGCTGGAAAACTCGAAGCACGGGAAAAACAGGGTGCAATCGATATCGTTTGAAATGGCTGGTATATACCGATACCACGCGAGCAGTTCGCTCTTATTCGACTCGGTTCCCTGTGAATCATTGTCCGGTGCACGGGCATAGAGGAGAAGCAGTGGAAGCATATAAAACAGCCAGATCACGTCGGGGAAAGGCGGAACAACGCTAAAGGAAGAGACGCAGGAGTACGAAATAAAAGGGAGGAATAAAAGTAGGAGCACTGCGGGGGTGGGCGGTGGCAGAGAGGGCGGGAGAGAAAAGCAGTGACAGGAAGAAATCGATGGACCAGGATGGCAAAGTTTTCCGTCTCCACTTTTCTTCCGCTTTGTACGAACAAAGAGCGACCGAGTATAAAGTTGAGCCCTTGCCATTAGTTTGAAAGTCTTTTACCAGTTCCCTTTTGCTTCCAACAGGAAACGTTTGAGGATTATCGACTCCGCGAGCGACGTGGGAGTTCTCCAATAGAGAGAATTCGCTCCGTTCACCGAGCTCGCCAGATATCTCTTGCTTATTACCACCAAGAGAGAGAGAGAGAGAGGAGAGAGGATGAACAGTAAAGCAGAGGGGCGAAGAAGGAGGAGGAGAAAGGAAAGAGAGAAGACCCGAAGAAAGTTCTCCAAACGGTCAGGAGAAGTAACTCGGTTGTCACGGATTGCCGACGACCATCGAGACATTTTAATTTCCCCGAGGGTGAACCGCAGACACCAAAGCACAATTTTAGGTCATAATCTGCTCCCTTTTATTCACGATGATTGCGAACTTTATAGCGGAGATTAAAATGGTTCCCGGCCTGACGGTGAGGAGGACCAGGTTCACCTTAGACCCCGTGAACCATACGCGATCGTTACTTCTACTTTGTACGTACAAAAGATCCAGTTGAACGGGGTCAACGACCGTTTTCGGGCAAATTTATCTTAACCCTTTCGCTGTGGCTGATTTTAATAGGCAACGCGCGTCGTGATGTATCAACGATCGTGTCGCGATCATTCATTTCCGGCCAATTTTAGAACAGTACAACTTTCCTGAAATTGAACCAAATCACTTGAGTTCTTTTGAGAAGTTAGAAGGATTAGTTTACTAGATGACGTGTACCAAAAATTTGGAAAAAATTGCAAAGGTCACTGTTTACAACTTTTTGTTTATCTGAGATTGTGAAAAATTTGAAACATACGATTTGCAGATTTATTATATTAAAAGTTCATCTGTCTATGGGACTATTACTATACTAGTCATATAAGACTATTTTGAGCTATGTTACATACCGTACTCTTCCTTTATGTTTATCCTTAGGACGATGGGTACCGGGTCATTACTGACCCGGCTTTTAGATATGCCTTGTTTCAATCGGTATGACATTCAAAATAGGGAAACAACTCTCCTCTCCTTATATCATAAATATACTTGTTAGTTTAATCCTAATATATTTGTATAATTTTAAACAACACGATGCCTGGTAAAATAAAACAAAGATGTACTTTCGCTCGAGTAGGAAGATTTTAGCATTGGGTCATATTTGACCCGAATGGAAACGACAAAATTATCATAGATTTGAATTCTGAGATTCAAAAAATCACTTTCTGGGATTAATTTTCCAAAATGAGACACATTTACATTCTATCTATTCTTTTGTGTTCAGGAAAACTAAACTGGACAGGAAAAACGATATTTTTTGTAATAATTAGAATTATTACATCTATATCAATTTTGCCTAAAATTGAATATATAAAATTAAGTATATGTTTAATTAATCGATATCTTTATCTGGTTCTTTTACATTTTTAACAATTATTAGTCCAAGGATTTTACTATTTTATCAGAATGAGATTGATTAGACTTAATTTCCTACCGTTTAAATTTCCTAAACCATTTAGGAGAAACATTGCAATCTATTTCCAGCATAAAATACTAAATTTTTCAATACCGACGCTATACTATACTATTCCCGTCAATCACTGTGCTACCGTTTCACGAAATCAACGCAGTTCTATTTAAGTCTATGCACGAACCACGAGCAAAAACCACGATAATTAGCTCGTATCATCAGATTGTTGCACTTCTCACTTCGATACCAGTTTATACATACATAACAGCAGTATACACGTGTATGTAAGTGCGTTTGTACGTTGACAGAGATACTTACGTTATCGGTATCGTTAACAAGTCATCGTAAACGTTAATGCAGCCACGACATATGTACACATATAAAACCATAATTCGATATGCATCCTCGTTACAGTATGACATTTCGAATCGTCCACAGTGTTTCATACGCGACCAAGCTGCGATACCAGAAATTTCATCTCTGCGCCAACTGAATCCCAATTAACAAACAAATTTCTTTTAAATTAGCTGCCGACGTGATTCGACGAGTCGGTGCATTTCTTGAATCACGTCAATTACGTTAGAGAAAAAATTTGAATTCGTTCAGCAGTAACGACGAAACGAAATTAATAAACGGCACTCGTAATTCGTCGGAAACGTTTATCTGACAGGGGTAAATAAGTATACGTATACTTACACGCGTTCGTTTAGCAAGGAATGCATATAAGCTCGTGTCGAATTTTATAATTTAGATCAATATTTTCAACGAACCTTTACATTTGAGACAAAAGGGCCTTCTCGTTCTACAATTTTTTAAATTACATTTCTTCAACAAAGTTAGTGTCCTATATTAATAAAATGTACTTGTCATATTTCGAGATTCTAGAACTAATCATTCCTTTCTAGGATCCTACTTTCGTGTGTGAAATAATTTTACAGACTTCAGTAGATTTGAATAAAATTTAGCCGACTTTAATAGAGTTTAGTAGAACTCGGTAGAATTCAACAGACTTTGGTCTATTCCGACTATAAAAAAAAATTTCAATAGACATTAATAAAATACAGTAGACTTTTAGTAGGTTTCGGTAGATTTCTGCGGAGTTCAGTAGAATTGAATAGATTTCGGCAGATTTCAGATTTCAACAAGAAGACTTTTATAGAATTCAGCAGATTTCAATAGATCTTAGTAAAATGTAACAGAATACAGTAGATTTTAATAGATCTCAGCAGACGTTAGTAGATTTTGATATATCTCTGTTGTATTATTAGGAGGAATGAGTGTGTGTGTGTAGTAGTAGTAGTAACAGCAAAAATGATCAACATACAAAGACAGATTAATATAAACACATATAGAAGAATGACATAGTAACCATCTGTTTAGTATGGGGTGGACGCTGAAATGTTTTTCTTTCTTTAGCGTAATTTAGATTTTCTTATTGGTTTGCGTAGCGACGTGCTTTCCTCGCGTATAAAATAAAGAAGATTTATAATTGAATACCATCTTCAATTTATTACCCTTAAATTCCAACAATCTCAAAGAAGTCCAGATAGAATTCACCTCGCTATACTTCAAATTCAGCAAGTGTCCCAACACTTACGAACAGCGCTATACATACACATACACTCGAATCATCTGAAATATTCACCGTTTCATCGATCCGCGATCGACGTTCAAACAAAAGGACGAACTATTTTCCCGGGGAATTTTTTCTTTCCCCTCCATTCACAAATCCCTCCCTGGACGGATCAATATTTGCCCGGGTCTAACGACGATTAAAGTGGTTAACAAAACAAAAATAAACAGCGCTTGACGAGCGCGGTCCATCGAGCGCTGGTAAATAATTCGTTAAACGCGTCGCGGCTCGATTAATTGAGAAACTTCTGTCCCTGTTCACTGTCGTTGAAACGATTCGACCAATTTTCCACTGGCATTTGTTTCCAGTGCAGCTGCTAAATATAACCGGATAGAGAGAGAGAGAGAGATTCATATCGGCCGTGGCGAGTTTAATTAAGTGGATACAGATGGTCCTAATTGCATACTTACTCCGATTTCACCGTAATCCGGACGATCGGGCGCAGCCGGCAATCGATGTCCGCTCCTGTGACCTCCTAGGGCCCCGGTACCACCTATGCCCACGCCACGCCTCTCGTCGATCAGGAATATCTCCGTAAGGACGATCAAGCCGAACACGGCGAAGAACATGACCACCAGCATAAACGACATGTTGGCCCGTTCCTTTAGAACGCCTGCGTTCACACGGCTCCAGCCAGTACCGCTCCTTCGGGAACCCATCCTCCAGAGCTTCTGTCGGCACGACCAAAGAAACCGTCAAATCACTCCCTCCGCCTCCTTCACCAACAGATCCTTCAAATCAGGTCACTATCATGTTTGCGAACACAGTTTTCATTTGATACCACGGTGATAAATGATTTTGCGTTAATCACGACTCTGGGAAACTTTAACCGTATCACTTCTCGTTAGCCAATTACAATTGCACCGGCCGTTTCGTTGTATTCGTCGTTAGATTATTTTCTAGGATGTTTTGTGAAATGTGACTTCGTGCGAGAGTTGGATTCTTCCTCAGTGGTATACTTAAAGGACAATTATTTAGACCACCTAATGTTCGCCTGTACACCGAACAATATTTGTGGGAATATTGTTTTTCGTAACTTTAATCTTTCGTAAGACATTTCGGTGAAAATAAATCAAATAAATTTATGCACAATTTATTAATTAATCCAAAGTTTGAATATTTGGAAAATAAGGAAGATACATTGATACCATCACTTACACGTTCAGAGATTTGAAAAATATAATTTAACAATTTTCATACATAACAGAAAAAAATCTCCGTGAATATTTTGCAAAGAAATGAATTTTCAGACAATTTAGCCAATTTAGTAATATACATTCAAACACAATCATTTCTTTCGAGTTTGATCTACGATTTATATTAATTCACTAATAAACGTACACGTTATCAAAATATTTATATTAAATAATAAGCGATGAAGTATAAACGCATCTTTCTTATTTTTCAAACATTCGAAATGTAGATAATTTAGCAATTAATTCGGTACAATTTTAAACAGTTCACAGTTCGATTTTCTTGTTTCTTTATCAACACCAACTTTCAGCCGCTTTCAGCGTGACGCGGGCGCCCTTGCATTTGATTGCCCGTGCGGGCGCCCTTGTATTTGATTGCCCGTGCAGGCGCCCGCACGCAGTTTGCTTTCAGAACGACGCGTGCAGTCTGCACAGTGTTTCTCCAACAATCGACAAAGCAACAAGACGTAAAACTGAGAATAACTTCGACAAAAGCCTCGAAAGTCTCTGTTGAGAACCTTTTCACACCCACGACACGCTGATAGCTACCTTAAAGGGCAGATTCCGTAGTTGCATAGCGGGCAAAACAATGGAAACAAGTTATAGAAATATATGCATTCGTGCATACGTATATCCATTTGACCCAGTTTTTACATTAACACCATTTTCATGTTGCAATAGTTATTTTTTTTCTTTTCTTTTTACAAACTAAGCTGGTGTTATTGATTTTACCGACGGAACGTATCAAGAATGTTCAAATACACCATCGTCGTATCAAACAAAACTGCACGTGCAACACAGGAAAATCAATATGAAGTGTTTAAGGACAATGTTCGGTATAGTGAACCAAACACAGCGATATCCAATATAAGAATTAATAAATACACCATTTTAATACGTAGGAATACTTTCTAGGTTATGTTCATCGTGAATTCTAAGTTGTATCGAAAAATAATCTACTTAAAAACGTTTCAGCTTGTCATATTAGAGATTTTTAACAATCTAACCTAACTATTTCACTGGCACAAACACTGTTCGTAACTGTTCCAAACGATCTATCTCAATTTCACTAATAACTCCTAAGTAAGTGCCCTTCGATATTTAAACGATCTTCTTTCGGGGGTGAAAATGATTATAACACAAGAATTTCATTTCTTCCATTCCGAAATTTATGCTAAATCTATATTTTACATAGCACAGATCGTGACGTTATTTTAACGAATTAATTTAATTTTAATTAACCGCCTAATTACTTTCTACGTCATCTTGATAAAAGTGTCACATTATGGAAAATACGAGTAATTGAAAAATCAAGTAATTATGAAAAAAATTACAATTACTTTGCTCTAACATACGGAGAAATATTTGATACTTTCACTAAACAACATTCATGCAACGTATCAGCTATCGACTTCGTTTAATCTAGAACGTTTCGTTAAAATATCAATTGATAGTTCAATCAGTAACAGCGCATAATAGATGAGATTAATAAGAAAACAAACGAGCGAGGAAATTGTTTAACCTGGATACTAAAGTGAATATTAAAATCACAAATATTCGGAACATCCAACTGACGGAATTATTCTGGAATTCTATTTGAACATTCACCAGATTGCATAGAGGACATACTCGGACTTTGTAATAGAACGTACATAGACTTTAAACTTGCTTCGGACTTTATATAGAACGTATTCAAATTCTCCACGTATTTCATTCGGGAACTAAATTTATCGTTATATTACTTTTGCAGGTATACCCTAGTAGTCGTGCTTTACAAAATTTTTATTAAAATCGTGTTCCTCGCTCAAGCTTTCCTTTCCTTCTCTCCTTTTCTTCTTTGCAATAAAAAATTTCACCACGTGAAAATTAAGTAATTAATTTTAAAGAAAATTAATCCATAATTTTACCAATTTTTATATGTCAGATCAACATTCATCGTTACAGAATTGTATCAAGCTGGTGCATATGAAACGTCGTTTTTTTTTTTCAAATCAAACTTTAGATATAGTCGGGGCCACGATATAGCGAGGTCGTAAAATCGGTTAGGCGTCAAAGTAAACATGTTTTAGCTGCCGGGACCCGAAAATTGACAGAGATACGAGCAGATAAGTACTTGAAACCATGGTCAGGACCGTACAAAGAATTCTTGTATCCAGCGAAAGTCAAACTGATTCTAATATATTTACTGAAAATTGAGTTCAGCTAGGACAATTTAGGGTTTTTTTCTTCTGGGAAAAGCCGCATTTGGAAGTACGGTTACAAGATGCAGATAGAAAATGCAAAAGGATTGTGTAGCTTTAATATTAACATATTTTCCATTTGTAAATGAAATACCATTTTCTACTTGAAGTACCAAATCATATGCTACCATTCGTTTATTGTTGGAACCCTCAAACAGACTGCAACACAGGGCCTTGAGTGCCGCAACATCAATCGGTGCCGATTCTTGAGAGTTTAATTTACGACCTCGCTATATCGTGGCCCCAACTATACATTATGTTTCTCTAAATTAAATCTAAAACACTGACACAGGGAATACAATGCTTCAAGGAACTTTGGAACATGTCGTTAGATTATAATAAAATCAATAAAAAAAAAATATAAATATAAGAAATAATCAATGTCAGTATTCCAGGGTTAATTCAAATAATATCCACACGATTCACTAAATAAATTCGTTATTCCAAATTGATAAAAGCCTTTGAATGAAAAAATTCTTTGAACGCTGCTTTTACAGTGTCTTCATTTCGAGATAATTTACTTGTTAAAAAAATTGCTCAAGTGTTTGAAGAAATAGTACTCTGTCGAGGCAAGGTCGAGTGAATTCTTCACCGTGGATGGTTTAAATAATTTTTCTTAAAACGTAATCACTCTAGATCCTATCTGGCCTTCCTCTTGGCTCATCTTCAATCTTCAATTTTGCACATTAACGTTCAACTGTCTCAACATTTATGTAGGGGATTTATGTGAGGAGGGATAGTAAACTCCAACGGATTTTTGACTATGCTATATTTATTAATACTTTATACTGCTAGGTGCTACGCTAAGGATGTCGCTCAATCAATCGCTGGATTCATACTGCCCTTCGCTCCCTCGCATTCACCCTAATGTCATCTTGCATACATGCACACTTTTCGTTAGAAGAAAACACACACGCACTCACGCACTCCTCGCCTGATTACTAAAACTAAACATTCGTTCAATATCTTTCGCGCTATCCCAAACACTCGACCTGGCGCGCCGGTCCTTACCGCTCCGGCCATAGACCCTCGCGCATTCACACAGTATCGTACCGCGGAAGCGTAGGCAGGTCAAGATTTCTTTTACGCGAAATAACTGTAAGTAACACTCGGAAAACAAAAAACTAATATCCGGATAGTGTGGTATCCCAAAAATAACTTATTCTTTATTTCTAAGCGCTTCTTAAGATTTCCGGCGTCCGTCTTGCTCGACGGCTATTTCCAGAATGTCCTTTCCGCGTCGTATCCCACGTTGCTCCGAAAAACCGTTGGAGCCCCCTCGTTGGACTTTTCGGGAGAAGGGCTTAGTTTATGGCACCCTCAGGTACCCGCGCGCTTTCTCTTCCCGGGTTACAAAGTCCAGGCCACCACTTTGCCGCCGGAATCTCGCATTTCTTACACTTCTTCAAACGCGAAATTTGTATTTTCACCAGTTTCTATCGCAGCTTTTCCAAATTTAAACTCCCGTAAAAGAATCGCGCGAATATCTTGAATATTCGTCACGTCAGATAGTAATTGTTAAGGCGTAAAACTAATTATAAGTAAAACCATTGTGCATATTTCACCTTCTTTGAATGTATAGCGACGATTGCCCTTTTTGTAGTAGAATTAAGAATTTTACCTCGGCCGTGTTAATTTTCATTTACCGTGGTCGAGTCAGGGCAACTAATAAAATATTACCTGCTACGGTTAAGGCATGGGGAAAATCCGACACATGCCTACTCGAAAGTACTTGCAGTACCTGAGGGTCACGGCGGCTTCCTCTACCAAATTAAAACCACCAATCAGATATCGTCATTCCCATTTTCACATGTCCGCATTTATCATTTAAGCACGAATTCCTTCAAAGGACGACAGATTCTAAAAAACTATCAGCTATTCAACACAGAAATTATTATCACCAGTCTAACGCGTTTTTCTAATTCAACAGTTGTAGAATAAATTTAAAGTTTAAGTGTTATGTATACTCGTGACATCATTCTTTCACCACCTTCCAGTATCTAATTTCAACAAATATTCAGTCGTCATTAACGTTGACGTTTGAAGTGAGCATACGCGAAAGACTCTCTTTCACACTACAAATTCTTAAATTGCTCACGCCTAGACAGTAATTATGAATTTTTTCGGCTATAATTTAAAAAACTGCACGATCGGACAAAATTTCGTACATATTTCAACTGTTGAAAGAACGACGTTTCACTTGCACCAACCTAATAATAGAGGAAA